AAATAAGCATCCGCACCCGGTTCCTCTTCCACTCAAACCTAGTGAACCGCCCACTCTTCCACCGCCTGTACTTACAGTACTGAGGCGCCGCCTCCTCAGTGCCTGGCCCCTCCACCCACCGTTGACGTTGACCATCCACGCCGTAAAAGAACGTGTGAAGTATCGGCGGATGAAGAGACACCTTTCTCTTCTCAACCATCTGATTCAGAAGGTGAGTTGCCTTAACACCCTAAGTCTGATGACTTACCAGTGGGGGAGACAGTTGAGTCAGATACTGGGGACCCTCATGACTCTTCCCCCTCTGAAGACTTCTCATCTTACTCCCAAATGTTATCCAGATTAGCAAAAACCTTGAAGCTTCGTGTGGATGAGCCAGCACCTCCGGAGGAGGATCTCATATTTGGGGATATTACTAAGGAGTATACCCCACCCCCTAGTCTATCATACCTACCTGCTCTACTGAAGATCATACAGGAACTCTGGGGCCATCATTCGGCCTCACCTCCACTACCCAGGTGTGTACAGAGAACATGTATAAGATCATTGGGGATGATGCGAAATTCCTCTTATTCCTTTTGAAACACCCCATCCCCAACTCTCTGATTGTTGAGGCTAGTTGTACAAAACCCTCTGGGAGGGCCCATGTCATACCTACTGACAAAGAAGGCAAGAAACTAGAGATGATAGGCAGACAGATTTGCTTCATTTTCCGCGTAGCTAATTACCAGACTACCCTAGGAGCTTATCAGAAGCAATTGTGGCTTAAAATTCTTCCAGGTCTATAGTTGTTGCCTGATGACATCAAACAGGGTTACCTCAATACTTTTGAAGAAGCCCAGACTGTCTCAAAACATCAGAGGATTGCTACGCGACACTCGGTCAATGCTGCAGCTCGAATTCTTGTATCTTCGGTTACCCTCCGCAGGCACGCGTGGCTTTGATCGGCTAATATCCTCGATGATGTGAAAACTAAGGTTGAAGATCTGCCCCTTGATTCCTCCGGTCTGTTTAGTGAAAAGACGGATAGTCACCTGGAAGAGTTACATAAGGCAAAAAAGACAGCTAAATCATACTACATTCAGCCTCAACCTAAGTTCTGCAAGTATCAGTGGAAAAAGCCTTCTAACCAGTTTAGTCAGTCACAGCCGTTCTGACAGTTTAAGATGCAGTCTTCTACCTACCGCAGCCAGTCGTCTTAACGTCGACAGTCCTATCCCTGCTAAGAAGCATAAACAGTACCTTTGACTCGCCGAATCCTCTTCTAAACTCGGCTCCCGTCACAAGACTTCAACCGTTTTACCCAAACTGGTCCACCATCACCACCAATTCATGGGTTCTCCGCATTGTTCATTCCGGCTACCAGCTGGAATTTATCGAGTATCCTCTTTAGGTTGCGTAGAATACACATCATTCGACCCTGCTTTAGAAGAGGAGGTGCATTCCCTTCTGAAAAAATGTGCCATTCAAAAAGTGCCCAAAAGAGACATTTCAAATGGCTTTTATTCAAGATATTTCACCGTTCCCAAAAAAGGAGGAGGTATAAGACCCATCATGGACCTAAGAACACAAAATACTTACCTTCGTCCTCGCAGATTCCGCATGGTGATCTTAGAATCCATCATCCATTTCTAAAGCTCGGCGACTGGTTCGTGGTCATAGACCTAAAGGATGCATATTTTCACGTTACGGTTCATCCCAATCATCGCAAGTTCCTCAGGTCCATTTTTCAGGACACCATCTATCAGTTCCTGGCTCTCCCATTCGGCCTTGTGACAGCGCCCAGGACGTTTACAAAGTGCATGGCTCCGGTAGCTGTTTATCTGCACCTCCACGGAGTTCGTGTCTTCCCTTACATCGACGATTGGCTGGTTGTCGCACCCTCCAGAAGCAGGGCCCTGAAACACACGAAATTCACCCTCCATGTGCTGCAGAACTTAGGCCTCCAGATAAATTACAAAAAGTCCCACCTCGTCCCCTCACAAACTGTGGACTACATAGGTGCTACATTGGATGCCACCAAAGGACGCATATTTCTTCCCCGAGAGCACATAAAGAAGATCCTACGTGCTGTGCGAAAATTCAGGGCAGGGAAGACTGTCACTGCTCTACATGCCCAACACCTGCTCGGCTTGATGGCCTCGACAACACCCGGCTTGGCTCATGCCCGGCTCAAGCTCAGGTCCCTGCAGGTATGGCTGCTAGCTCTCTTCAATCCTCTGAAGCACCACCAGGAGCAGCGCCTCCGAGTTACATCAGAAC